CACTAACCAATGAGCGAGGCAGTCACAACCCTTGCAAATCAAGCGAACACATGTCACACGATTTGTTCAAAAAAGAAAAAAAAGAAGAAAGAAAGCCCGCTAAGTCAATAACTTGAAAACAAGTGACTTAGGCAAAAGTTAGGGAATCCCGCTGAACATCAAAATCATAAAAAAAAAATATTAAAAAAATTGTCCAGCCAAAAATTAGGCAACAAAAAAAATAAAAGAATAAAAAAGCGAAAAGCAAAAAGGATTACAAAAGAAAAATTCTCGATAAAGAATAAAGTCGTGTGACTACAGACGACAAAGACAAAAGGGGGATTGTCACTCTGAAAACCTTGTGGGTTCCTTCTATCATTATGTCATTTAATAAAATTTTAAAAGGTGAGCGTATGTGCCAAATTAATTGAATGTAGGATTGGAGAACACCAAGGCGAATGGGTAGGTTAAAACAAAAATTTGAGCCATAAATCCTTTTTTCTCAGATCGTGAACCAGACCACGTTACAACCCTCAAAAGACCTAATTGAAGAAGGGTTGTTTTGACAGCATACTTCGGTAAGATCACATCAAAAGTGACTCCTAAAAGGATTTATTTACCATTCATGTTGGTATCGATGTGACATTCTGATCAGTGATTCATTCACTATATGTCGCAACATGATTCCATGAACAGACTTGGATTTAAAAATTGTCATATGCATTGCATTAAAATTATCATTTTCAAAATGATTAGTTTTACTTGTGGGTAAGCACTTGACATCAAGAGAGTTTCTACAATGGAAGGATTAATTAAGCTAAGGTGCAAAACGCCTGAAGACTCTGTTGAGTAGAAGGGAAAGCCATTCTAAAATTCAGCTCGTATGGGGTAATCAAGTCGAGATTCGAAAAATCTCTCGAAGATCAGTTTGTTAGAGGCACTTCTTTACAGATTAGCCAGCCAAGGGGAAAATCACTTCAAGGCTGGGGCAAGCCACCCCAAAAGTACAAGAAGTTAATCTTGTCCAGAAGGCGATTAATTCAAAGCACTTTTCCAAGGTTCAGAATATTGGGGCAGTCCATCTCAAACCATTAGGGTACAGAGGTCCCAGGTTTCCTTTCGAGGCAGATTCCTATAGAGATCCTACAGGCTGGGGCAAGACTGGCGACAAAGGAACGTTTCCTTTCCATACCTTCAGAGCTACTCAAGAAAGTTTTGTCAACCTTCAAGTTCAAGACGAATGTCAGGAAGTCACGCTAAGTACATTCCCTAACCTTCCAACCAGAAATCTTGTAGCCAGGAAAGACACTTTCTAACTTCAGCCGTACTTGACCTACCTCAAAACCATCAGTTGATCCAGAAATCCTTACATTAATCATTACCATGCATTAGTCATGTCGTTTCACTCATGCATATCATTCGTTTAGCATAGCATAGCATGCAGCCTTGTAAGACCAAGCGAAATCCAAAGTCCAATCCTTATTGGCACCTCAACTAAAGTCAACGTTTCTCCCAAGGCACTAGAAGAATTTCCTATTTCAAGAACATTCATGCGAAATTCATGAATGCTTTTATCATCTTTCATCTTTAGATTTTCGAATTTGGTAGTGGGCAGCTGAAGTAAAGACATCTTCACCTTAGATGTGCCTTCATGAGTGGTTTTGAGAATATCTCAAGCATCTTTAGCCATTATATAGGTGCTTATTAATCTGAACATGTTTTTGTCAACTCCATTGAATAGAGCATTCAAGGCTTTGGAGTTTCCAAAAGCAGTTTTATCTTCTTCCTTAGACCAGTCCTCCTCTAGCTTCAAATTCTCCTTCCCATCTTTATCCTTAACAATAGGATGTTCCCGACCCTTGATGATAACTTTCCAAGTTTTGTTATCCATATATTTTAAGAAATTCATCATGTGTTCCTTCCAATAGTCATAGTTGGTGCCATCTAAGACTAAGGGTATGTTAACATTTCCATATCCTTCCTTTTCCATAGTACCAGAAAGTATCTTCCTTAGAGCTCACCCTAAACAGAATAGGGTATTTACTCTTATGCCAATTAAAATTCTTGTAATCAGACACCAGATGTTGGGTACGATGTCATGACATTGGGATCAGGATAATAGCACAACACAAACAATTATGTAGTTAATTTAAATGGCTTGAAGTAAATAACACAGTCAATTGTTAACCACGTTCAATGCAACATCACCTACATCTGGGGGCATTCAAGTCAGGAAGGAAATCCACTATAATAGTATTAGTTTGAAGTCCAAGTAAGCAATCTCCAGTTTACAATCTTCTCACCTAATCACTGCCCGTGCTATTTCTATCTAAGACACTCCTAAATATGAGACCCATTTCACTTCCCTTCAATCACACACCAATGATAAAACTTATAACAATGAATAATAGAAGACACACTTCCAATGAAACAAAATCGATTATTGCTTAAAAGCACATGAGTGATTCACAGTTACAACTCAATAAACTCAATTTTCTTCAAACATCTAAGTGATGCATGAATGGCAAAGAACAACTAAATCCTAATTCCAATAAACTCAAGCATATCTCTTTCTTGTGTTGTATAAATTAGGTTTATCATCGTCCTATTTAAATAGCCTTTGGTAAGCATGGGCTTAGGGTGCAACATATCCAAAATAGTAGCTTCAAATATTCTGCATAACCTTCTACATAAAAATAGGAACAAATCACAAGTTTCCTAAAATGTCTCAGACTCCTTTTTATGAAATAGATGCACATCTGAAACATAATAGGTGTTCCTAAAATAAGCTTCTTAGGTTGCGACAAAATTTGAGCTAAAACCAAAAAGAGTATCATACTTAACAAACAAATCTTCCAAGAATTAAAACCTTAGAACCTGCAGTGATGTCTAACCAACATGTCACAACGTCGTGCTTAACATCTTTGCAACAATGTTTGACACACATGTCAAGACATCTTGATCAACATCTTGTTGTGATACACATGTTTTAAGAAAATCGTTGTCAATCTAAAAAACACAAAACTAAGAGGTATATATTCAATATAGCTGGAGAAGCTATATCTTGGAAATCAAAGAAACGGGATATATTAACTCAGTCCATGGTGGAGTTTGAGATGTTAGCATTACAACTACTGGTGAAGAAGTAAGTTGGTTAAGATGCTAGTTAGCTGAGATCCCTTTATGGGAAAACCTATGTCAGTTATGTTGGTCCACTATGATATTAACATGGCTATGATGTCAAATAAGGAGGAAGCATAACACTGTTAGAGACTGCATCTTTAAAGGAGTTGTAAGAGTGAATCATGTACACACTGATGAAAAATTAGCAGATCCTTTGACGAAAGGATTATCTAGAGAGGAAGTCTATAATACATCCAATAAGATGAGACTAATTCCTATAGAAAAATGATTTTCTCATGATGGTAACCCGACCTAAATGGCTAGAGATCCCAAGAAATAGGTTTAATGCATAATAACAAGTTGTGAGTAATATAAGGTGATCATGCTAGAGTAAATAAGAGAAGCATGAATCCTAAAGATATAAGAGGATGAGATGATAGAAACTCTTAATGAGATATATACTTTGTATGAGGGAGTACCTAGGCTACATGAGTACTCTTGATATACTCACCTATGTGATTGTGGAATTTAGGTCGGTTCTTGTGGCAAAATTCCTAGAGTCTTCACTAAATCGGGATACACGTGCAAGGCCATTAAAGCACGGGCTATTAGAATACACCTTAAGAAAAGGTTGTGTGCAAGTTTGACGTCTGAGATAGAGTTCAAGACAATTGTGCCGCTCTTGTTGAATCAGAATCATACTTACTATGCAAAGGTTCAAGTCGTAGACACCTTTGTTTATGCACAATCATAGAAACGTTTGACGTTACTTCTAAAACACTTTTTTAAATTCAAGTGGGGGATTTTTGAAACATTAGTCCAATATTTTAATATAGGGAGATGAATTTGAAAAAGTTCCTTAAGTCAAGTCCCACATGCACCTTCGTCTACTATAAGTTATATCTGATTTGGCTGTCAAATACATGCATATTCAACTATTACATGCTATATTCGACTACTACTTTATTGAATACATTCAACTTTGATTTTGTCAAATCCTGCATTTTACAAACATGCTTAACACAAACAATTACATATTTAACACACAACAAATCACAAGGTGATATTTTAAATATGATTAAAAATTTATGTCTATGGTTAGTTATCCATTAAATTCTTTTATATTTAGTTTTAAAAATTATGTAATAAATAATTTAAAAGTTTAAAAATTTTCAAAAAAAAAATTGTATTCTTGAACACGTAGTTTAAAAACACAAATAGCATGACTCAAACATATAACACTTTAACACTACTAAGAATTACTAAAACACGATTTACATGTATCAACTAAATTTATTTATGTTTTATAAATCCAAAGTAACAATATCTATACTGATTCATCACTTATTTCTTATTCACATTTTGCATTATTCTAACCATCTCTATATTGATTCATAACTGTGAGATGTTGGATCGAACTCTAGTATGGTCAAAATCTGTTCGCGAGTAATGCATGTTGTAGTCGAAGTTTGTTTTAACATGCATTAGTAAATATTGCTAGGGTTGTTAGCATCTTGAAGTGGACCTTGCTTGTAAGCTCAATTGTTTAAGTTAGCTTGTACCCTAAGTTAGCTTGTAATGGATAATTGTTAAAAAGCTCATTAGGTTAGTGTGCTATTTTATTATAAATAGGATGCTAGTTTCTCAATCTTGGCATAAGGAAAAATAGGAAGATAAAATCCTAATTTCAAGAGAGAGATGTTATTTTGTTATTCTTGTATACTTGTAATCTTGTTCTAAGAGAAAGAAAAGAATATCAGTTTAATAATCAATCCTCGTTATTTTCTTTTTTATTAACCTTAACCCTTGTGTGTTTCTTGCTAACAAACCGTTTATACTTTGTTTAAAGGTATCCGATTCACAACAATAACTTTTGTAAAATGCATCTCTGGAGAAAATTAATCTCTATCAGCACCACCGCCAATATTTGCACAATGCAGTGCCAAACAAAACTTTTTGAAACTAAACAATTTCCATTTACCATTTCTTCCCTTTGATCCTGTTTCTTCTGTCTTTGTTGATGATGCTTGATTTTTAGATAGCACAAACTTTCTTGTCCTAAAAATTCCTATGCGTTCATTTGAACCTAGAGCTATTCCAAAAAACAAACAAACAAAATAAACCATTTAAGAACTTATTTGACTAACATCTTAGAGCATTTATATTTAAACATATAAAAAATAAAAACAAAATATACAATTAAAATGTGTGAATCGAACTACTACTAAATTATTGATAATAAAATAAATAAATATTTGGTTGAAAGGAAACAATTATATAAGAACATTGTGTGATGTCTTTTTAAAAAGTCTAAATATATATTATTTTGTATATGTTTTGAGATTTAACTTCGTTGTAACAAAATATTAACACAAAAAAAATTTAAATTGTCAAATGTATTTGATACAAAATTTGGATCAAACACGTTTAACAAAAATTAAATGTAAAATATTCATACTTTGTGTATAAGTTAAATATCTATTGAAAAAAAGGAGAAATAATGATGGTCAAATCCTAACCCATAAAAGAAAAATAAAATAAAATAAAGTAACAATTTTTCTTCTTTAGTAATTTAATGGAAAAAAAAGGAAAACATCTAGAATAAATAATTTTTATTCGATTTATGAAAATTGAAATCAATTTAGATTAAAAGAACTACTTTAGGTAAGAGTTTGAGCTTGAACACCAATTTTCCACGCTTTAAGCATATGAATTTGTTCATTAATCTATTTATTAAAAAACAATTTAATTGAGAGGGTAAAATATCTTATGAAAATAAAATGTCACATATATTTAAAATTTCAATTTTTTTCTCGTTTTTTTTTTACAATTTACTCTATAATAAAAAATAAATAATGAAATAAAATATCAAATGTATTTAATATAAAATTTAGATCAAATACATTTTCAAAATTTCATAAAATAACTTTTTTACTAACTTTATAAAATAAGTAAAAACAATCTATAAACATGTTTGTGAATAATTGTAAGAGTGAAAAGGTTTTTTTTCTTTTCAACAGAAAAAAAAAAAATTCTCTTCATTCGCACAATTATTCACAAACATGTTTATACGTTATTTTTACTTATTTGTTATACGTTATTTTTACTTATTTTATGAAGGCACTTCTTTTAAAACCAAAATGTTGATATAAAAAAGAAAAAAAAAACATGTAATAGATTAGATTGCTCATGCATAATTGAGCATAGAAAAATGCATAATTTTGCATAGAAAAAACATTTGCATCAAAACAAATACAATACATAACAACTACAAACACAAGAAAAAACAAAATTTTAATTTTTAAAAGAAAACACATTACATCAAAGTAAAGCATTTAATCACTTTCTCTGAACACCCAAAAATTAACACATAAAAGTAATTACTGTATCAGAAAATCTTACCATCAGAGACATCATTTGAGCAATGTAAAACATAATCAGATGCATCAGATTTCAAAACAGGCAATCTACCTTGACGTGCATAAAACTTGAGAGCTTTGTCAATGACATCACAAACAACATCATCTTCATTAACCACTATTGTTAATGGTCCTGAACTACCAACGATGGTGATTGATATCAAAATTCTATTAGTATTGGTGTTGTTATTCTTCGTCTTATTTTTAACCTCATCACCAATGCTCCAACTATTACTCTTGTACAATGCTGCTTTCTCAAATTTTCGTAATTTCTTCGACATATCTCTGCGTTTCTTACTTGAAACAGGAAAAATGAAAATCATATTTTGAATATCTAAATATTAATAAACTTCTATTTTATATTGTAAAGAGGAAAAGAAAAAAAAAACTGATCAAAAGATAAGAGACCTTAATTTATGACTTAGTCTCTCTTTTTATAAGATATTGTGATTCTTTTTGTGTTTAATATTTTAATTTTTTTATTTGAATATTTGATTTTTTAAATATTATATTTTGGTAACTTCTATTACACCATGAGAAAGGTCAAAAAAAATTATTGATATTTATTTATATTTAACGTTTGAGACAAATATAATTATGAGTTTAATTGGTATGTATTGGAATTATAAAATAATGTTATATTGTTATTCAATAGAAATTATCAATCTATCATATTATACCATTAATTTAAAATTTACAGTTTTATGTGGTAAGATACATGATAGTGGTTGGTTGACATTGTAAAATTATTTTACAATGTTAGTGTATATCCCTTTTTTTTTTATAATTATTTCAAATTGATATATTGAAAAAATAAAATTCATTGGATATGAATATTTATATTATTGAATTAATTTTATTAAAAAATCCATTCTAAGTAAATTGTAGGAGAAAATAGTAATTATTAATTGAGGAGTGCATATATTAGGTTTGTCAAATTTTTATAAATAAATGAAAAGAAGATGCTAACAATGTACCTATATTGCAACAAGAATATACATGTCTCACATATAAAAATATTTCATTTTTTAAAAATGAATTTGATCTAAACTTTATGCAAAATACATTTGATATTTTATTTTTTTATTTATTTATATTTTATTACATAGAATTAACTGTAAAAAGAATAAACAAAAAATAAAGAGAAAAATTTATTAAATAAACTTTAAATATATAAAATTATTCTTATGTGTATAAGTTGAAATTAAAATTATCATTATATTTGTACTGGTCAAAAAGTATAGGTGTCCGTGATATTCCTACAATGGTAGAGGCTACTTAGAGCATCTTTAATGGGAGCAACTAAATTGGATAAACTGAGTTATTTTACGTGGGTCCAAATTGACATGAAGGATTTAAGCAATCCAAAATTGAATTAAGAAGTTTTTACTTCAATGGTGATTGTTTATAAGGAATTCAAACTTGGTATTAAATGGTTAATAAAAATCTATTATTTATGTTAAATAATTAATAAAAATCTATTATTTATGTTAAATAATGAGTTAGAGTACGTTGCTTGTGTAGAGCACGTAAACTAGTTTTAGAGCATCTCATATGTCATGTCAGCTCTACTATAATGCAAATTCCTTATTACTAACGTAAGCTATACAAAATTTTGGTTTAACAACTATGCGTTAAAGTTGCTCTTAGAGGTCTTAGTAGCTTTATAACAATTTAGAGTGGTTAGGGTTTACCACTAGGGCGAGACACCTTGTATGGTGATGTTACGGTGGTTTTGAAAGACCCACTCATGTGAGGTGAGGCTTTATATATCAGCGCAGTGATAAGTGGTTTTCGCATCACTTTTATTAGTTGTTTTACTTTGTTATTTTCTCGTTTTTCTCCGTTTTACCTTCTTTTATCATCTTTTACGCTTTGGTTGTGTGTATTTTTGATGTTTTCAGACTTAAAAATGTGTCTCGGACATAAGAGGACCCAAAATGAAAAAATTGCGAGACAAAGACGAAAGTTGGATTTTCCTCCCATACATTTTCTGAAGGCCTGCTACACGTTGTCGTAGAAGCTATTACGTGGCATATCATGCAGACAAATTTTCTCTGTCTTTTCTTTCCTTTTATGACGTCATCTATTATTGTTTTGGGATCTGTGTTCTTCTTGATTCAGAATATTTCATCTTGATGGGCATTTATCAAAGATACTTGTTCCACAATTAGGATTTTTCTTCAAAAACTCATAGTCTGTAACAGTTTGGCATCCAGTTTTTCTTTGGTTTTACTTTCACGTATTTTATTTTTCAAGTTCTTCGGTATCATTGTACTCAAGTCTCCATTGGAGCATCTGGACTGTTTAACAATTCAAACTATTTTCTTGTCAGTCAGGTTATATTTTCCTTTATTTATTAGTATTGATTTACACTTTTACAATTAATCATATTTTCAATTATGAATATTGCTCTGATTTTCATGTTTCCAACCACGAGTGAGTAGTCCGCTAGGGACTAAGGGTCATGAGACATATCTCATGACTGTTCGAATGATCCATTAAAAATCGATTACAAGATTTCATTCACGCATTATTTTAAAACCTGAAATTTTCATTCCAACCCTTAAACGAAAGTAAAACGTTTTTCAGGTACCGATCGTAATCTGAAAGGATGTGTATCGGTACACGAAAGTAGATTTTTAAACAATTAAGTATGATACAACAAAAGTGATCATGTGTGATTGAAAAATTTTCCATCTTTTATAGATGCACAAAGAAAATAATCTCTGATAAATAATTTGGTCGTGCAAGAGTAGACTAATCATTCGCCATAGATAGGACAACACATTGACGAAAGTAGGTGTTTCCATATTTACCTATTTTCTATAACACTGATCAAATTCTCGTAATAGAAGAAAAATGATCATATAAATATTTCATAGTAGGGGTCATGAACCCTAAGTCTTGTTTGTCTCATAATATTTTAAGTGATTTTCATTTAAGTTGTTTTTCCAATAGTACTTTTTATTTAAGTTTTTCACAAAACATCAATCATACACTTGTAGCGTGTCACGTAGTGCTTTGAGTATTATTTGTTAATTGTGATATTTCCTTTATCCTGTTAGAGAAGAAGTATTGATAAAGGCCTTGGGCCTAGGCTTTTCTTGGGAAGGGTCGTCGCCAACCTAATCAATGGTGGATCATTGGATCCTTATTTCATAGGGAGACGTGGACCACCATTTGACTTTGACTTCTCTCTGCCCAAGAAACGTCTTTTCCCATGGTTTCCATATCTAGGTGAGAGGAAGGTGCTAATATCAAAATAATATCTAGACGCGCGCGCGCGCGTGTGTGTGTTTGTGTGTGTGTTTTACACTTTTATTTAAATACACATTTTCATAACCTTACATTACTTTTATTTAAATCTACAAGTACACTTATGAAGAAGAATTTTGAAACTTCTTCATCGTCATCCTTATGAATATTGGTGAAGAACAAATACTGGAATTTGTTGCATATTTGTATATTGTAATATATTCTCTATTGCTTCCCATTCTTCTTTTTTTATGATATAAAATTAACAATGGTTAGATAGGAAAAAAATTTAATCATGTATAAAGACAAGAGATTTATAAAGAACACATACCTTTCACCAATACTATTTTCTACTCTGGCAATCCATCATAAATACTATTTTCACGCACCTTTAAGTTTTATTCCTGGTGTTTTCATTACCAACATTTGTGATTTAGGTTCTTTGTGATCCAAATATATATATATATATATATATATATATATATATATATATATATATATATATATATATATATATATATATATATATATATATATATATATATATATATATATATATATATATATATATATATATATATATATATATATATATATATATATAGAGAGAGAGAGAGAGAGAGAGAGAGAGAGAGAGAGAGAGAATGTGTTCTCATTTTCAATGGTTGTAGTGATGGTTTTACGCGGATAACTAATCTTTCTTGTGGATTAATGTGTTGGGAGTTTCTTGAGTGTTATTCCTTAATAAAGAGAGATTAAATATTTCTTTATGGATGGCAAAACTGGCTTGTTGACCCGTCGGCTGAGGCAAAAACCGATTTAAAATGTTGTTTATTTCTTTAAATAAATCTTAAATTAAATAGGAACTTTTTCACTTAGTTTCTAATCCAACCAAAAGATTATTTATATTGCAAAAAATGGTGAATGGAAAAAATTGAAAGAAACATTTATCGTTTCTTTTTTCAATTTTTTACCATTCACCAATTTCTTTTGTGTGTTGCAATAATCAAAAAAATAACTATATTAAAAATGAACTGCAGTATGATTAGGAATAAATTTCTCAATATTGTCAACCAAAGAAAGCAATATATTATATAATATTTTCTTTGATTTACAACAATGTTTCCTTTTGCTATTAAACATTGGCAGGAGGTGGAAACAACATTATGTGAGATAGATTGCAAGAACAGAAAAATATTTTGTTCAAGGTTGGTGTTAGGAAAATAACAACACATAACCAAAGTATTTTTCTGTCTTGCAATCCATCCCAAATAATGATGTTTATGAGTATGAAACGGTTGTATATGAGTTAGGTTTAGGGAAAAAATTTAGTGAGCAAATCATTTTATAATAAAATATGTGTATCATATCCTTCGGGTATGGGTTTAACCGAAAGAATGGATTATTTAACAATTAAACATAAAACAAAATACAAAGAAAGACGCCATTTTTAAAGAAATAAAAACATAAACGAAAGTTGTTGGGATGCGAAGCATGTATCCCTAATTAGTTTATCCCTCAATTATTCATTATAACCAAGGCAATATATGGTATTTTTTGAAAAAAGGAAACATGGCACGTCTAGGACTTATACCTCGGTATTTTATTGGATGAGGCGAAAGTGTTGTCATAAAATTTATTATTTATAGTAGTGTAATGAGACTATAAGCCCCTCAGGCGAGGCATTTGATCTCTTGGACGGGACTTCTATCAAGCCCTTATACACGACTTTAAGATTAAGTCTATAAGGCTAGACTTCGGTCTCGCCTCTTAGGCAAGGTTTATATGTTTGGTACCGCCTAAGGAAACTATAAGTCTCTCGGGTGGGGATTTTATATAGCATGGGAAATCTCAGTCCCTTTGGAGAAGTTATGTGAGTCCTCACTGATGAGACTATAAGTCCCTCAGATGAGGTGTTAAACCTTTCGGGCAAGACTTTTATCAAGACCTCAGACAAAAATTAAGAGTAAATCTATTAAGCTAGACTTCAGTCGTGCCTCTTGGGCAAGATTTATATGTTTGG